TGAGGATCCCCTTCTCAACAGCAGTGTGGTCTTCGGCGGCGGACAGGTGAAAGTATACGTACAGAGCCAGTTGGTGCTGACTGAAAAGCGGGATGGGGACTTGTATCCCGTCTGCTACAGCAGTGGAGGTACAGGCGCTCTGAAGTGGACGCAGCGTGAAGACAATAGGATACCTTCTGGTGGTGATGCAGTGTGTGCTGCCGTGAGTATCGGAGCTGAACGTGCAGCACTTTGGCACCGACGGTATGGCCACTTGGGATACAGCAACCTTGAGGCGTTGCTGCGTCATAATATGGTAGCTGGATTCGATATTGACCGACACAGCATACAATCAGCCAGCGCGTGTGTGTGTGAGACTTGCGTCCTTGCTAAGCATACACGTGGTCCTTTTCCGCTAACAGGGCATAAAGCAGCACAGCCACTAGCATTAGTCCACATGGATGTGTGTGGACCTATGCCTGAACCTTCGCCTAGTGGTTCGCGTTACGTGACAACTCTGCTTGATGACCATACTGGTCTTTCAGCTATTGCGTTTACAGCGACCAAGGAGGAGGTCTACCAGAAGATGGTGGTAATGATAGCGGAACCGGAGCGCGCTTCTGGCAGGCAGGTTAAGGAGGTGCGTACGGATCGTGGCGGGGAGTTCATTAATACTCGCACGAAGGGCTATTTCGCGTCCAGGGGTATTGTACACGGAACTACGGTAGGCTATACCCCTGAGCAGAACGGAGCTGCTGAACGTTTGAATCGCACTCTTCTAGACAAAACCAGGGCTATGCTTGTCGAGTCCGGTCTACCTAAGTCTATATGGGCGGAAGTGTTGGTGACAGCCAATTACCTCAGGAATGTGTCGCCAACTGCTGGGTCAACTGTCACGCCGTATGAAGCTTTCTTCAACGTCCGTCCTAACGTCAGTCATCTTCGAGTTTTTGGGTGCGTCGCCTACGTCCATGTACCTGACGTCAAACGCGACAAGTTCGATCCGGTGAGCAGGCGTGGAATACTTGTCGGATACGGGAACGGTGGACAGTATCGTGTACTATACGAGGACGGCATTATTGCCGTAGTTTCTAACGTTCGTTTTGATGAGTCTAATGTCGGCCGGCAGCGTAATGCCGGGGACTCCGATTATGAGTCCGATGCCGACGAGGAGGAGGAGTTTCGCACTAGTTTATCTGGTGATCGCTGCCTAGGGCTGGCGAAGGGACACCAGGTAGCACCGTCGGCGAGGGATCGCCGCATTTGGGTGGCGAGGGGGCGCCGGCTGGGGCTGGACCTTCCAGCAGTGCGAACGGGCAAGGAATTAATCAGCCTGATGTGGAAATGGCAGGGACCCGGTATCCAGTTAGAGAACGTAAACGCCCTGGCGAATGCTGGCGAAACGAACCTGGTCGCACTGTTACTGGTCGCGTAACCGTGCTTACTCTGCTGATATTTCGGACCCTATTTCGTTTGCGGAAGCCATTGCAAGTCCACATGCAGACGACTGGCGGCGTGCGATGACGAGGGAGATCGCCGCCCAGATGGCTAATAGTACTTGGGAGCTGAAGAAGCCACCTCCTGGTACTCGTTTGTTGCCGTGTCGTTGGGTATAAAAGGTTAAGTACAGCGATGACGGCAGCGTGGAGCGCTTTAAGGCGC